AAGATTCAATTGAAGCTCTTCAAATCGCTCTTTGACCTTCCTTCTAAGGTGGGTGGACCTTTTAGGAAACACCATATTTGGATAAATCGATCGAAAATATACTTGTGTAGCTTCGTCATCGAAAAATGAGTAGGGTAGATATTTTATCACCATCCAATCAACTGTAGCTGTCATGATGTCACTGCTATTTTCAGACTGAAATAAAACAGTAAATGTGTCTCGCTGACTATAAAAACAAATGAAAATATGGGTGAATTATAAATACATATTTAGCACTATAATTTATATAATATATAAAAGCGAAATACCACTCACTGACTGACTATCACGATATCTCAAGAACTATAAAACATACAAACTTGAAGTTTGGTAAGTAGGTTCCTTTTATGGCGTAGAGGTCACTTAAGAACGGTTTTGAGAAAATTCACCCCTAAGGGGTTGAAATAACGATTGGAAGTTTGTATGAAAGTCCTATGTTTTTGTCCTATATACTTAGGGAGGTCTTTTGCGTCTCATAGTCCCTAAGAGTATACCCGAACTCCTATACTCCCTGAAACGACACTCAGTCCTAACTGCAAGACGCAAGAGTCTTGCAGGCTTAGTCTTGTTCTTGCTCAAATCTTGCACGGTCAGTCTTGGCCTTGGTATTGCTAAAATTAGGTGATCTTGGTCTTTTTCTGGCGAAAATTCAAGAACAAGACCAAGACAGATTTGGGCAATACATATTATTAATTCATTATCAGGAATATGCTGCCCTTCTTCTTCTCCAGTTACTTTTTGTCACAACTTACGACATCCACGGGATAAAATAGAGTAGTACATTATCTTTGCTTATGTAAAATCATCTACCTTATTTTAGTCTAAAAATAACGTCTGTGGCAGACGAACATACAGGTACCAAGATAATACCAAAAGTGATAAATAAAACTTTTCTTGACACGGAACTTTTAAAATAGCAAATATGCGACAAGAAGTTACACTCCAAGGAAGTTTGCTATTCATTTAGTGTTACAAAACAACATTTGAATACTATTAAAACTGTGCTACAAACAATTCTGGCTTTTTATTTTTTATTGCATATTTGTTTCGCATATAAGTAATAATTCTAATAAAGTAGAACAGGTGGATAGAAGAATGTTGCTGTGACCAACAAACACGAAGTAATCAGGTCGCAAGTTATCGCGGTAGGCAGCACGATTAGATAAACCTCGGGTCCGGTAAATATTTAACTGGCAAACAGCGGACTGTCATGGCATCCACCTCTGACGACATTCAGCAATATGTTTAGCAAAAACAACGATATTAATGGACGAACAACTAAACAAATCCTTTTGTTCACAATGAAATAAATTTATATTTGTGATAATTTATTCAATTAATATTATGTTTTTGTGTTCTCCTCGTATCCTTGTCTTGTTGAGATATTATATAAATACAAATAAATATATAAAATATGATAAAAATAAATATATTTCAATGATCTCAACTTTTAAGCTGGTATTCTGTTTAAAAGAGATAGTGACGGATCTCCTATAATCAGCTAGTGTTTTATGAGATTGTGTATTAAAAATAGTGTTTTCCTAATAGTAATAAAACATGACTTATGAAAACTACTGATAGTGGTTTCATAGTTACAAGGAATTATTACTTTGCAAAATCGGCAAAATTCTAGTCAGTGACGTCACGAGTTGTACAGCATGGCGGCTAGTGTTTTTACGCGAAAATTTAGAACGATAGCTGAGAAGTAATTTTTATGGCACTATTCCTTTAAATTTTTTTTAAATAAAAATAAAATTTAAATTGTAGTGATTCATTATCACACGAGGATTCTTTTACTCTTGGATTGTGGGCGTTGACTTTATTTTTTGTAAAAATGTATGTACGATAATTAATAGAATCAGGCGTTACTTTCCGGAAATCAATCATATTAAAGTTGGTAAGAATTACTTCGCCCATTGATTTTCATTGAGCGGATATGGGCGAAATAATTCTTACCAACTTTTAAAGATGTTTACATCAAACCGAAAAGTACTTACTCAGGAGCTCTAGTTAAGGGGTTATAGTAGTGCCACAATCTATAGTGATTTTGTCATTGCTTATCTTAGAGTAATTACATACATACATAGGTATGTATAATACATATGTGACCAATGACCATTGTGACCCATTTGTTTATTTGTAATTATAATAAGTAAAGCTTATCAAGTCAGTCAAAATCAACAAAACGAATAAAATGAGCCTTAATATCCTGTTCCTGAAAATTTTGCTTTATGTCGGATGTTCAACGTTATTCCGGATAATAATATACTTTTTTCAATACTAACTTTTACCTACCGCTAAGCGTATCAGTAAGAACAGTACCAGCTTTGTATTAGTTTTCCTTCGATAACTTTATTTTCCCGTCGTGAAGATTGTTAAGTACTAATCAAGTACACAAGAACGAATTGATGTCAAATTTCATCCATTTGAACTGTTACTACGTGATCAAATAACAGCATTACAGCATATTAATGTAAAAAATATTTTTATTACTAATTATAATATTATTTCATTTCCTTGAAAAAAAAACTAAATTTAGTTTTTAATATTTTATTTGAATTCTATTTGATGTTATATTACCTAAAGAAAAATATATTTCAGAACATTTACCATTTCAGTTTAATATTTTCACAGCGCCGTGCGGATTTTATTAAAGGCGTACGATGCGCTATCTCAAGGAAAACTTTATCGGTTAACGCAAAAGATTCTTGTAAATAAATATGTGAAATATGATATATATGTGACAGATCTAAATTAAGCTAAATACCTACACACGGTTTTTGCGTTTAGTAAAGGCCGCAGCAACAAATCGTGCCCATGACGTATGCACCAATAATTCGGATTTGTATGAAAGAAATTAAACCTGCATTCACACCCTCCACAGATCGTCCTCCGTACAGTTTAATGACTGTTGAATATATCACAACTCCAACATGCATATTTTTAAGAATTGCTCTCTACCATTTCGTACCACAGTGAGCGAGTTGGCACAGACTTTCATTCTGCTCCGCATCACTCAAAGGCAGTCTCAACTAGTCAGAGCCACTTCACTTAGTAAACATATGTTACAAACTGTATGTAACTTATATGCAGGTATGTTTGGCATGTGCAGTAGTTTATACAATTTGGTATTTATTATATTTTATTTATTGAAAGGATGAAATCTATACAAATAAATAAAATTTAAGTGTTTATTTGTAATGTTAAAATAACAGCTTTTTACCAAATGCATATTTTATATGTGGTAGAGCCACGCTGCAGCTATGGTTGTAGCACGAATGGGTCGGCTCGACCGGGAAAGGACCACGCCCTTACACAATACCAGCGTAAAATGAACGTAAAATACTGCTGTGTTTCGTATGGTTAGTGTAGAGATCCGGAGACCCATTTTTACTGGAAACGACGCATTCCATCTTAGTCCTCAGGGGTGAGAACGCATCTGCGTTTTGATTCTTAATTGAGAATACATGTAGATGTCTATGGGCCACAGCATCCATTTACCACTAGGTGCACTATGTGCTCGTTCGTCACCCTTATTTAATATTAAAAAAGAAATTATGTACGGTACTTATAACAAAAAAGATTTTTTTAATTTTTGTCTCTCTGTTTTTTCCGGCTAATCTCCGAAATGGCTGAATCGATTTTGACGGGACTTTAATTGACAGATAGCTGATGTTATAAGGAGTAACTTAGGCTGTTTTTCTTCGGTTCGGTTAGGTTCCATGCAAAAAAAAATTAAAGCCAATCCAATCGTAATAAATTACTATACGAACAAAGTCGTAGGGAGCAGTTAGTACAAAATAAAATGCAGTTAAATTTTCACATAATAATTTACTTTTAAAATGTTTTTTACAAATTCATTATTATTTTTTCCACTCATATAAAGTAGAAATATATGTATACTTCTACAACAATGTGGAAAGCTAAGCATGTACTATGGTTACATGTTCATAAATTGAAATTCTGTGTTTTGGTTACTTAGCTTATCAAAAATTAGTTATTTACATAATTTACAACTTCTAATTCAGATTCAACTACAAAATATGTAAATCTATATAATTTAATTTGGAATATACATAAATAATTACTGACTAAATTGGTATATTCGACTATAATAATACTGAATCTTATATCTAAATATTGCATTCTGATAAAATCTGGTCAATTCTCATAATATTAAACATCTTAAATTACAATTTTATTAGCTTTTTACATTAATTTACAAATTAGAATTGTATTGGAATGTATCAAATTTTACAACTCTAAATAATCTACGTTTTGAGTACTTCGCGCTGTTAATTTTATATATTTAGAAGAAACACTATCTGCATATCTCTACATTAGTACGAGATTGGTACGAAAGTACATAGAGATATGTATACAATGAACTCATGCATAAGAATATAAACTATATTAATGGTTACATGCCGTTTTCACCTTTAGCTCCTTTTAATAATCGAGATAATTAAAAAGTGATTTAGACATGAGGTTTCATTTATTCGTTTCATGTCATGTCGAAATAATATAAAAGATAATGAAAATAAATTCGTTTTTTAAGCCATAAATGCTAAATTTTATGCTGGCGTTAAAAACCGCAATTATGACGTATGTATAAATATATAGGAACTGCATACACCTTAATTTCATAAAACCTTTAAATATAAAACATATTGTAACTATTCGAGGTAACTATTTAGTTATGACTATAAAGGTTGATAACATTCGACTTATATACTGTAACGTATATGTATTTTGCGATTGGTTTACAACAAACGATATGAATGTTATGTATGATTAATTAGCTGTTATGTATGATAAATTAAAATTTTTATTATGATATTTATAACCTATATTTCGAACACTACTGAAACAATAGCATTTAGCTATATCACCTTATTCGAAGCATCAAAACTCCTAACAGACGACTAGGAAATCACTGACTTTATACTACATTATTAAAATCACCACCAGCACCCGCTCGGTTGCGGCCCATGGCCGGCCACTGGCGGTTGATGATGCATATGCTGGTATGGAGGTAAGGACATACCCAATGGAGGGAGGCCATCCGGCTTTCCTATACAAGGTCTTCCATCCTTGACTAGCACGGGTACAGCAACACGACGTGGCGAGTTTAAGCTGCCAACATTTAAATCGTGCGCTCCCTTCTCCTGGACCGCCCTCTTCGTCTTATACCTATGGTTCTGGAACCAAATCTTAACTTGCGTCGGCGTCAGTCGTATTAAACTTGCCAAATGCTCCCGTTCAGGAGCTGATAGATATCTTTGCTGACGAAATCGTCTCTCCAACTCGTAGGTTTGCGCTTTGGAAAATAGGACACGTCTTTTACGTTTCTTGTGGGAAAGATTGGGGTCGGTGCTTGTGTTAGGTGGCTGATCGTGTTCATGATCATCGTCGTGGTCGATATCATCGTTATCGTGGTCTTGCTCCTGGTCGTGACGTGGGTCACTGATCACTGGTGAGGAAGCTGATACTCCGACGTACGATGATAGCTCGGAAGCGCGTGAAGTACTATCTGGACTTGCTTGTTGACCAATACCTATGACAACACAAACATGTTCATTTGTATTTTAGTTGTTAAACATACTTAAATTATTAATTACATATTAACAATTTTCATCCAACTATACATGAAACTTATAAGAAATCGTCTCAGCAAAACCGCAGTGTATTGACCTTCGATCATATAATAATTAAGATATGTGATGCCAACATAGAATTGTCTACGAAACGATGTTTGTGGTCTAAACAAGAATTAAACACTACATTATAAATAATATGCCTACAGTACAAAACACTCCTTCCTTAATCTCAACTTAATCTGTTAGGGTTGCGCTCTATTTAACTCCAACTACAACACCGTTTGGACACCGTTGAACAAATAATGAGACGTGAAAAAATCACAGCAAATATCGCATTGTCCCCATTCTCACCCTTCGCAAATTCAATGATTTCACACGCCTGTGATAATGCGGGCGGGCGCGGTGTTGGGCGTGGTACAGAACATGGAAGGGGTTGGGGGGTTTGAGAGAACCCAGCACGCCACACCCACCCTGGGCAGCTGGCAGTTCGTTTTGCTCGACAATGTCGATAATATTATACTTAAAATGTATTTTAAATCATATCTACTTTTTTCTTTGCGATCTCAATGAAAATGTCAAAACAATAAAAGAAGTAAAATGTGCGTAGAATTAGTTTAAAATTGTTAATGCTAAAACTGCTTGTTTTCATTGGAACTCTAACTTAAAAAAAATAAGTTTAACAAATTCTATAAATCAAATTCTTCACAAAATTTCCACATGATTATTATCAATTTAATGTAAACAAGAGTTGTTGCTTCAAATATTTCGCCGCGTTTTGCTTCGAATATGGCGGTTCTAGCACCTGACAGCAATAGGTACAAAACACGCGAACTGAGCAGTTTTGTTGGTGCTTAGAAATTGAAATTCAGTTACAGGAGAAGTCAACTGTTATACGCCGCTGTCTAATTCCTGCCAATTAAACACTTCTGAATATATATTAGGAGTAAAATTTATTGTAAATTAATCAGATACGTTGACTCTGGTGGCATTATAAGAATATCCACTACCCCATATCCACTACCCCATATCGTCCCACGAGAGTTGTTAGAGGCAGTAAAGGGAAACAAACAGGAAAGGAGCAGCAGCGACTTCCAATTAGCCACAAGTAAATATAAAACTGTGATCATTAACCCGCCTGGCAAGTGTAGCAACTATGGCAAATATGATGATCTGAATGAATGAATGAATAGAATTACTTAACCCACAACTAATGTGGTATATCCACCAATAGACGAAATCTATAACTGTCATCGAATAATGAACAAATTGCATCCCTAACAGCCACAAACACCGTGTAATTGATAGGCGACAGCTGCCTTCGCGCTGTTTACGAGGGCATGAGCAGCCTCTATTGGTGACAAATTCGTTCCGCATCGCACCCCTCAGTTAAACAATCAGCACGCTCTGGTAGCGGCTAGATCGCCCCTGTAAGGGCGTGAACGATTTACCGAGCCCGGTTAAATTTACTACATTTAGAGACAATTTATGTCCACTGAGGGTACTGTGAAGCTTAAAAGTTTTTTTTTGTATTGGTAACTGTGTGGGAATTAAATTCGGAACAAATTTTAACAAACTCATCAAAGCTTTCTTCTAGATGTAAGGGTGACAAGCGAGCATATAACCCGATTGTAAGTGAATGCTGCGGTATCTAGAAACCTACATCTACCCACGGACAAAAAATTATTCAAAATCGCCTTTAAAAAAGTAAAGCGACTTCAATGAACTAAAAATTTTTAAAATCCACATAACCGCCTGTGAGGTCAGTGCTAAGACGGTGTCTGTGTGGATATTTTTTAAATCTTTTTGATTTTTTGAAGAGAGCTTTAACTCTTTATTAAAAGTTCAATGTTTAAACTTTTGAGTTAATTAAGAAATATCAGAAGCTCATGTCTTGTCTGTATGTCGTCTATATAATTATAGTACCCGGTTGACCGAGCTTTGCTCGGTATTTTTCGCTCGGTTTTTTTTTAAATTCGTGTGTTTTGGAAATTATATTTAGTTTAGATACAAATTACACACTGATGAAATACGAATAATATTTTTTGATCTTAGCGACATAATAGAAAAAACTGAACTGGTTATTTGAATAAAAAATCATGAGTGCAATTAGTTTAATTTAAATTTTCGTGTTTTTAAAAAATACTAAAAGAAGGGCTCGAAAAAATAGATTTTCTCAAAAAAAAAGGAACTTGAAAAAAAAAAAAAAAAAAGTGTGTGGTCGAGCACCGGTATTACAATTTTGTAACCGCCCAATATACCAATTAAGCTATTTTGAATCAAAATTTACGTTCTTATTCTAACGATATTGTAGCAGTTTTTTATTGCCTAAAAACACGGACAAAAAGACATTTTCTAAAAATAAATCCTAGCTAGATCGATTTATTGCCCCCGAAACTCCCTGCACACAAAATTTTATGAAAATCGTTGGAGCCGTTTCCGAGATTCCGATTAATATATATATATATAAATATATATATATATATATATATATATATATATATATACAAGAATTGCTCGTTTAAAGGTATAGGATTAAAAATTCATCCCCTATTTTCTAATCCAGACATAAAATTTTTGATGAAAATTTATATGGAACCCCTGAAGTATAAACTATTTTATAAAAAATAAATGTTAAAATCGGTTACAATTGACTAAAATATTGCGTAATATAATATTCATATAAAAAATGCATGCAGTAGAATTCAGGATCTCCTTCTTATTTGAACCGGCTAAAAACTTGGGTGCATTTTCACTCCTGAGGTATCTGTAGTCTCTTTACCAGTAAAGGGGATTTTAGGTTCATCATCATTACAGTCCACTTCTGGACATAGAGCCTCCTCTAAATTTTGCCTCGGGCACGGTTTTGAGCCACCTGAAACCATCTACTCCCTGTACTCGTATGTCTTATATTCTCCTACACTACGCTTGCGATGCGGTGCGAGACTGCCTCTCTAGAACCTTTCTTCCCCATCGGATGTTGGTTAGATATTAATATAATTGATTTTTGACTATCTGTGTAATTTTTGTTGACTATTAATTTGACTTTAAAACAAAATCATCTTAAAACCAGCTGAACGGTAAGTTAGATTTCTGCTTTATGATAGGTACTCAAAGAATTTTTTCAAATCTTATCGGTAACGAGAAGCGGTACAATGTTAACAAGCAATCGAAAGTATAAGCGCAATGAGTGCCGAATTGTTCGATAAGCGATAAAAATAATTAATGACAACTACAGATTAGGGGGTAAAGGCACTCAACTGGAGGAGCATTTCAAAAAATAATCTCGGCCTCTCGAACAAGAATACTGAATGCCTATTACTTTCGAGTGGATCATCGCATTTGTTTATGTAATTCATTCAATGTAATGCCTATGCTTCGAAGGATATTTTTTAAGTTTATGCGGAATTTTAAGAAATATCCTAAATATTTTATATGTATGTCACCGATAAACGCAAGCTTCTTTTCATAACATAACATAATTAGTTTTTAGAAAGTATTATATTTAAAAAGTAATAAAAATTACTTTTTAAATAAGCATTAAACACTCACATTTGCATGTCGTGGCAGCCTGTAATTGAATCTGCACCTAACTTAAATATTAGATAATAGCTTAAGAATTAAATGTTTTTGGTGTAAGATTTGTTGGCTGTCCTTAGTAAATAAATAAATAAATAAGTAACTTTAACACTAAGTATAGTGTAAACTAATCCATTCATCTATTACAAAATAACATATAACTTAAGCCCCTCCTGTACATTGCCTCACAGGGGAATTTTGTGATAAATTTTGTGAACTGAGTTATTTTTCAAACAATATCCGAATTTTAAACTTAAGTTCAAATCTATAAATAATGATGTATAGTCTTCTTTCTTTATAATATAATAATAGACATAGGGCCTGCAAAGAACTTCGCACTCGGCACCCTTATCTTTCACTCTGATGATGTATGTAATGATAAATGGACTAAAAATGAATTTAAACAAAAAAGATTGCCTACCCCGATGATATCGTCAAAGGTCAATGTACTTTTTCCCGCCTGCCCTAGAAACGTACCCTTTATTGCAGTTTTTGAAAATATGGCTTCTACCTTTATTTGAAATTGTCCCAAATTGCATGTGATGCAATGTGGTGTGTAAGTGGGCATCAACGTTTTTGCCTACCGATCGACCCTTACAAATATATGCGTGGGCAGTAAAAATCAGTTAAAATAATGCATTAGCACGCATTTTGAATTTAAAAGATAAAAACCACAGAATGTTTGAGATTTTTTAAATTAAGTTTTGTTCACCATTTGTCTGTATTATTCTTAACCTTCTGTGCAAATTTGGCCGGTTATTGTAAAATAACCAAATGTATATTGATGTCACATCCATATAATCATGAGACATTTGTTATCCATATCATTTACGTGGGATAAAAATGACATTTCATAAAGACTTGTTTAACCAGACCTGCCTTTATAGTATAGCGTGATAACCGTATCTAACTTAGTTAAGATAAACATGTAACAAATATCTACGCAAGATAAATATGTACGATGTGGCAATTCATGTCACATGTGAGGAATTACACCTGCAAAAATGCTATGCTTAACCTATTTATCATTCATTTAATAAAGACATTTTTGCTTACTAGGCACGCTCTTCACACCTGAGCATTTACCACATCCTACTTAAAATTGAAATAAGGACTAACAATTGGGTTTTAGACAGTAACTCTATCTATCTGATAGTTTTTATTTTATCAACTTATATATAATCAGCGTAGAAATAATACTAACCAGTTGGTTCATGGTGTTCCAAAGAAAGCCAAGGTTGATGATGTCTGAGTAAATCGTGGGAGTAATGATGCTGGGGCGGAGCATAGGGCGGTAGTTCCATGGAACCACAGCCTATGGGGCCTTGCGCTGACGAGTTTTCCAAGCCCTTTGCCTCATTGAGCCCCAAGATATCCGAGATCTGGAACCCCGGACGTTGGCCGGGCATCTTCATGCTGTCTAAGAGACTGTAACAATAGAAAAACTCTATAAGAATATTTTACATAGTCTTAATATAGACATTTTTCTAATGATATTTTTGATGATTGGTTATAACTTCAATTGACTACTGTGTAGTCTAGATTAGTATAGTGGTGAAAATACTGACTAATACGCCGCAGGTCCTGGGTTCAAATGCTAGTCGGCTCCATAATCGTGCTAAAACGCCAATTCTACGATTTAAAGTCTGTTTGTGGTACAATTGTCCCCGTGCCTCTGATATTGCATTCTAGCATATCTTTGACCTATGCGATAACCTTTACATCGCCCACGGGTGGATACACTTGTGTCACTCAGATGTCATTCAAGCTTAAATGAAAAATATAAATCTATGAAACAGTGAAAAATGCTCCATGAGCCTCTCAGAAATGAGAGAAGTCTCATGCAAACCAGCAGTGGGAGGTATATAAGCTGTAAAATTCATACATTCATATATTGATTACCTATTTATTCGGAGATATACAATGACAATTAACAACGCGATGATTTAATCATAAGTGAAAATTATAATTTAACATAAATTAATTTAATATTTTTATATATATGATAGGGTGACAAATGAGCACACAATCCACCTGCCCTACATCAGTCCTCGATTACGAATTGAAATGCAGATGCATTGTCACCCGAGAGGACTAAGATGGAATGCCTCGTTTCCAGTAAAAAGGATCTCCGATTCTATACACTCACCATACGAAACACAGCAGCATTAAGTCACTATTTTACGCTAGTATTCTATGAGAATATATGACATAAATTATTATTACTATTAGAAATAATCATCACAATAATATTAACAAAAGATTTCAACGCAGTACAGACGGTAGATGATTATTTAATTACAAAACTCTACTTTTGTAGAGTCAAGGTAAACTATTTTAATATAACATCACATAGGTATGTCAGTGTAACGTCACATTTCTTTTAAATTATATTTTTAGATTTTTTCTGATAGAATGCCACAGACATTAAGTTCACTTAATGCTGATCAAACCACCTTACCAGAAAAACCCGAAGCAAAAAGTGCTTCCGTTAAACTCACATATCAGGAGAATGAAATTGACGTATAAATTACCTACAATACAACATTAATAATGGTATTGCAGTAGAGTTATTTAATGGCGGCTTTAGCAAATTCATCATTTCATCTCGCCTCGTGGGTGTCGTAACTATGGAAAATACTAGACTGATCCCTCGAAAAAACGGTCATGAAACGATCTAATTTTTTCCAGACGAAAAAAAAACTTGACTTTATGAAACCGCTTATTGGCAAATATGGCAAATCCTCCATATAATGTCAGGCTTATGAACAGCAGTGGACTTTTAAAAACTGATGAAAAATAATATACATAATATATTAAAAATATTTTTGACGTTCAGAACTATGGTCATGGTTACAGAATGGCAACAGACAACTTTCTGCTTTGTCAAAAAGTAAACATTGTACGGACAAACAAGTTCATCTCAAGGGTGTATGATTGAAAGAAAACATAAAATTCCATCATCCATTTGATTCTTTGAAGAGGACCTCTCAAAACTACGTGACTAGTATAAAGGACGCTTGAAACGATTCAATGTGGGCTCTTAGAGACGGCTGTCTATTAAAATATCAGAATGTTGTAGCACATTAGCGTGAAACGTTCCTTTGGTGTTGTACGTGACGATATGAAAAGGCGGCGTGATGTAAGATCTGCAGGTTGTAAACAGGACGATTAACAGGCTTTCACTAACATAGCCCCGGGAAATGTCACATGTTGCGATGCTCCACACTTATTACAAGTAAACCGCAAGGTACCACTTTAATTTTAATATGGCAATATAGCGTATCAAAATTAAAGTAAAATAAATATCTTACGACAATTATTTAGCATTTACTTCATTATAATTATTAAAAATGTATGTTTTCGTTTAAGCTCCTTAGAATTAAAAACAAACTGTAAATTATTAAACACTCAAAAAACTCTCTGTCATTTACTGAAAACTTACAGACTCATATATATTCGTATATTGCGTGTACTATCTGGCCTTCTTTGTTTGAAGTCACTTCAATTTTATTTAAAAATAATTGTTCCAAATGCGCTATCATCCTTTAGGCGGCGCGTTGTCATGATAAAACAGGATTTTCTTTTTCTACAAATGTGGCCGTTTTGCCACTATTTCTGCCTTTAGTTTTGCAAGTAATGATGCGTAGTATGCTCCTGTAATGGTCTCTCCTTTGAGGATAATCGATTCAGTCGCCATCACTTTCCTAGCCGAAAAAACAGTTTTACTTTTTTGGAGCTGGTTCTCCATATCAGTCCACTATTTCGATTGTGTTTTTGCTTCAGGCGTATCCAATTTTCGTCTAAAGTAATTAATTGGTGCCAAAACTCCGATATATTGTGCTGAAACTGCGCCAACAGAGCGCGCTGGAATAGCAGACAGCTTTCATCTTGATTTAATATGTGACAAACACGTTCCTTGGACATTTTCATAGCTTCTGCTATCTACCTACCTACCATTTGGTGAACTTTAGCAATGTTATCGTCAGTAGTTGCAGTTTTAAGACGTTCCGAACATTCTTCCTCTCCCAAGTTTTTTATATATGTTTTTCTTTTCTCCAAGCTCTTACGGCCACGTATAAATTCAGCTGAAAAGTCCCCATACACAGAGCCTAACTCATCTTTGATTTGCGTAGGCGTATTGCCGTTTTAAAAACAAAAATTTTATGACAGCTCCACACTATTTTTTTTTTCATTTTCACAAAAACTCACATCGACTCACTCAAACGACTGTTAAATAACAACTACGTGGTAGAGCCATCCTGTAGTTATATTAGTAGTATAGTTGTAGCGCGAATGAGTCGACTCGACCGGGGTAGGAGTAGCTTAATGCTGCTGTGTTTCGTATGGTGAGGTGAGTGTAGAGAACCGGAGACTCTTTTTAGTGGAAAAGAGGCATTCCACCTTAGTTCTCACGGGTAACAACGCATCTGCATTTTGATTCGTAATCGAGAATAGATGTAGATTTCTATGGGCCACAGCAACCACTTACTATCATCAGGTGGACTGTGTGCTTGTTTCTCACCCTATCCTATAAAAAAAACTACGCGTCCAAAATGGCTGAAATTTTGGTGCGTAACTGTCAAAAGATATAAAACTGTATTGCATCTAGTTTTTATTGACGAGTGTTGGCATCTTCATGTTGAGGTCGGAAATTTTTCAGACCACTCATATATTATATAGGTAAATATGGATGACTACTATAATTAATAGTTTTTTCGGCTAAATTATAAAAATATTAAAATTATTTTTTAATTTCGCTCATAATTATTTCTTGAAATGTTAAATAAAAAAATATGTGTCCTTCCTTCAAACTTTATCCTGCTGTATACAGAAACTCGTTCTCGAAAATTGGCAGCATTTCATAAATAATATCTTTACAAACAACTCATACTTGTTTAAGTTTCTCTTCAAAATTTTGGTGATCTAAGGCTTACCATCAACGAAAGCTTTTTTAAGCAATAAGTAATGTTTTATGTATTATTATAATAAGCTTTATATTATGATCTGCTTTTTTTAAAATAACTCATTATATTCCAAATACATGATATCAATGACGAATTGTTTGAAATTTACCTATGTTTTTAGACTATTTTTGCTATAATTCATATTGACAAAAATGGATAATTGTATCTACTGGATGTTCTGACTGTTTATGGATGTAGGTGCTATATTAATTACTTACAATATTACATACAAAAAGCACCATCCTAACCGTAAGCATACGTCAGTAGAAACTTCTAATATTGAATAATATAAACACACTGTACATTCGTGAAGCGTTTTGTTCATATAAAACCAAACAACACACTCAAATGTCTCGGAAACTCTTCTTTTTAAAAAGCACTCTTTTGGCACCTGCCAAAAATATATAGCATACGTAATTGGAAATATTTTATAGAGGGGTGACAAACGAGCACACTGTCCACCTGATGACATGTTGATGCTGTAGCAAATTGACATCTATATCCATCCTCAATTGAGAATCAAAATGCAGATGCGTTGTCACCCTTAAAAACTAAGGCCTCCAAGGTATAAGGTCTCCTATTCGTTACACATATGTTACAAGACACTACCTTTATGCTGCTATTTAACAGCTTCCCGATCGAGCTGACTCATTCGTGCAATCACCTTAATTTATCTGCAGTATGGCTATAACACGTCAAAAACTACGTAAAAGTTTCAATAATAAAGATAGCCGTATTCAACAATAACCATAGTAATTGAATAAATCATTTATTTAAAATCAAAACAGGTGAGCCCTCGCACTTTTTCTGTATCACATAATATAAGCCGGTTATAGTTTTAATGACGATGCAAATAAAAAATTATAATGCAAATACATTTTCTCCTTGAAGTTCGCACTTTCACTTCTGAAGTTAAATTTCATGAAAAGTGGCGTTAAAAGCTCACCCGGGGAAAGCCGAACGGAAAGCCGCTGGATAGAGAGCCGGCAGAAATGCCGGGCCCCATGGAGGTAAGAGAATAGGGCTCCACGCCAGCAGCGACGCCGGCGGCAGCAGCGGCGGCGGAGAGCGCGCACCTTCACCCTCCTCGCACTTCATCTCCCGTACGGGAGAGCTCGTTTTCGGAATAATTTTGATGGTTATGAAACACTCGCGGAAACACGTGCTACGTCTTGCGACGCTGCGTCTGCACTAAACAACCCTCGAGTGGCCCTCGGGGTGAACAACACCCCGCGCCGCCCTCGTACCTCGACAGCCTACTCAGCTTGGTTTAAGGGTGCTCCACTGACCTCCGCCAATCCCGCGCGACTGACGATTGGGCGGCACCCGCACGGACCAATCCTGAAGCGGTCCCAACAAAAAAAACTGGAGTATACACTTTGAATAGAGGAGCTTTCGACGCAGAACGTTTGTTATGTCGCTTTTTGTAATGAGTGCGCGCGTTAAGCCCATTGTTGAGGC